CTCATGTTTTGTCACATGTCATAGTTTCTGTTTGGGTTTTTAACTCAGCTTCAAAATCAGAACCGAATGAAATCTTCAACTATTTGAACAGTTTTTAGGATTAAAATGATTTTTATTAAATATTAACTTTATTTCTACAGGTTAGTCCCATTGAGCCTCGGGGACTCATTTACAGAGAGACCTGGTTTAAACAAAGACTGATGACAACAACAATAGACAGTCACAGTCCCCACCATCACAGACATCTACACCTCCAGATGCAGGAAGAGGGCCACCTGCATCATGAAGGACCACACTCACCCAGCACACACACTTTTTGCCCCACTCCCCTCAGGAAGGAGGTTGAGCAACATTAAGTGTAGAACCACTAGACTGAGGAACAGCTTCTACCCTGAGGCTGTTAGACTCATGAATCTCTGACCAGAATAATCACTGTGAAAAATCACATCATGTTGCTGCTGATCTGTTTCGTGTTGCTGCTGATCAGTTTCGTGTTGCTGCTGATCAGTTTCATGTTGCTGCTGATCTGCTTCGTGTTGCTGCTGATCTATTTCATGTTGATGTGTTCATTCGTGCTCATCTGCTCACACAGACTCATGTTCGTGCTGCTGTTTGACGTAATGTTTTTATGCTGTTAGTGCTTAGTGTATATTTAGTTGATGTTTTTCTTAGTTCATATCTTAGATGTTATTACTGTTTTTTTTATATTTTATTGTTGGATGTAACTGGGACTCTATGAACATAATCTTGTTCCACCACATGTGGTGGAACAATAAAGAATCTCTGAATAAAATCAATGCGAACCTATACAAAGAATAAAAGAAGCACAATAAAATCATGACGTCAAAGCGTAGGAGAAGAAAAGTGTTTTCAGTTGCTTTTTAAAAACCTCCACAGAGTCAGCAGAACGAAGGTGCAGGTCAAACTGTTCCACAGCCTGGGGGCCACTGACTGAAAGGCCCTGTCCACTTTAGTTTTCAGCCACGCACGTGGATTTAGTCAGAAGCTGAAGGAGCCTGGCCTTTTAAAACTGATCTTCCTTTACGGCTCAAGGAGGCAAAACATGAAATGGTTTCTGTTTATTAAACAAAACTCAACTAACGTCATCTGCTCTTAAGATGATCTGCAGTTTGTGCTTCAACCAATCAGAGCTCTGGTTGCAGAGCAGAAACAGGATGTGGTCAAAGGGGGCGGAGCTAAACAGAAAGGAAGACACTGTGATGGGGAGGACGCCTTATAAGGTTAAATGATCGCTCTGGAAATGTGATGTTGCACAACATCTTCAGACAGCAACCTGTTAGTTTTGTATGAACTTTATTAAAGCAGGAATGTTTTAACAGAAGAACTTCCTGTAAAACCAGCCTCAAGGTAAACAAACAACACAATCACAAATGACACAAACACAACAGAACCAAGCAGAAACACAAACAACTTAAACACAAACAAGAGAAATGCAGCGACTTGGATCCACAAAGTAAAGTTGCTGCCGGCTGAGTGGAGTTTGCTCTGTGACCTTCTCCATTAATCCACGCTGAGTCCACCTTGTATTTTATGTATTTAAAACTAATACAATTACTTTTGCATCCAACAAACAGCGCCTGTATTAATTTACATGTTGGTCAAAAAAGTTAAATCTGGTCCTCTGGACATTCAACAAAACAAAACAAATAACAAAAAATGTAGAAACGTTTCGTCTTTCATCAGAAAAACTTCTTCAGTCTGAGGTGCTGTATTCAGCACAGTCTCTTAAATAGCACCTTCTCAGAGTGGATCAACCAGTTTTGCTGCTGACAACCAGAACCAGCTGATCACATGCTCAAGAAGGACCATGATGGCTGCTTACTACAAACCGGATTCCAAAAAAGTTGGGACACTAAACAAGTTGTGAATAAAAAGTGAATGCAATGATGTGGAGGTGCCAACATCTAATATTTTATTCAGAATAGAACACAAATCACAGATCAAAAGTTTAAACTGAGAGAATGTTTCATTTTAAGGGAAAAATCTGTTGTTTCCAAATTTCATGGCGTCAACAAATCCCAAAAAAGTTGGGACAAGTCCATTTTTACCACTGTGTGGCATCCCCCCTTCTTCTTACAACACTCAACAGACGTCTGGGGACAGAGGAGACCAGTTTCTCCAGTTTAGAAATAGGAATTCTCTCCCATTCATGTCTAATACAGGCCTCTAACTGTTCAATCGTCTTGGGCCTTCTTTGTGGCACCTTCCTCTTTATGATGCGCCAAATGTTCTCTATAGGTGAAAGATCTGGACTGCAGGCTGGACATTTCAGTACCCGGATCCTTCTCCTACGTAGCCATGATGTTGTGATTGCTGCAGAATGTGGTCTGGCATTATCGTGTTGAAAAATGCAGGGTCTTCCCTGAAAGAGATGACGTCTAGATGGGAGCACATGTTGTTCTAGAACCTGAACATAGTTCTCTGCATTAATGGTGCCTTTCCAGACATGCAAGCTGCCCATGCCACAAGCGCTCATGCAACCCCATACCATCAGTGATGCAGGCTTCTGAACGGAGCGTTGAAAACAACTTGGGCTATCCTTGTCCTCTCTGGTCCGGATGACATGGCGTCCCAGTGTTCCATAAAGAACTTCAAATCGTGACTCATCTGACCACAGAACAGTCTTCCATTTTGCCACACTCCATTTTAAATGACCCCTGGTCCAGTGCAAACGTCTGAGCTTGTGGAGCTTGCTTAGAAATGGCTTCCTCTTTGCACTGTAGAGTTTCAGCTGGCAACGGCGGATGGCACGGTGGATTGTGTTCACTGACAATGCTTTCTGGAAGTATTCCTGAGCCCATTCTGTTATTTCCTTGACAGTGGCATTCCTGTTTGAGGTGCAGTGACGTTTAAGGGCCCGGAGATCACGAGCATCCAGTAGAGTTTTACGGCCTTGACCCTTACGCACAGCGATTGTTCCAGATTCTCTGAATCTTTTGATGATGTTATGCACGGTTGATGATGATAACTTAAAAGTCTTTGCTATTTTACGCTGGGTAACACCATTCTGGTATTGCTGCACTATCTTTCTGTGCAACAATGGTGGAATTGGTGATCCTCTTACCATCTTGGCTTCTGAGAGACACTGACACTCTGAGAAGCTCTTTTTATACCCAATCATGTTGTCAATTGACCTAATTAGTGTTAATTGGTCTTCCAGCTGTTCGTTATATGTTCAATTTCCTTTTTCCAGTCACTTATTGCTACTTGTCCCAACTTTTTTGGGATTTGTTGACACTGTGAAATTTTGAATCAACATATTTTTCCTTTAAAATGTTACATTTACTCAGATTAAACTTTTAATCTGTCATCTATGTTATACTACGAATAAAATATTGACATTTGCCATCACCACATCATTGCATTCAGTTTTTATTCACAATTTGTTTAGTGTCCCAACTTTTTTGGAATCCGGTTTGCATTCACAGGAGGCTGAGTGATACTAGCAATCACAGCATTGTAAGAGGGGGACACTTGAACCCGGAGGCTCCGCCCCTGTTTAATGATGGACAATTTCTTTTCACAAAGATGGCCTCCTTTACTCCTCTCTCAAAACATCATTCCTCTCTGCCCAGGATGTGAACATCTTCATCCCTGAAAGAGTGACCTCTGGCCTGGAGATGAGTGTAGACCTCAGAGTCCTGGCCTGATGATGTTGATCTTCTGTGCTGGTCCATCCTTTTGGTCAGTGGCTGTTTAGTTTCCCCGATGTAAGACTGATCACCCTCCTGACACTGAACAACATACACAACATTATTCTGTTTGTGCCGGGGGACTGGATCTTTGGGATGAACCAGTCTTTAATGTATTTTGGGGTTTAAAAGCCACTGGGACGTTGTGTTTATAAAATAAACGTCTCAGTTTTCTTGAATGTCCAGAGGACCAGTCTTAACTTCTTTAGACTTTTCTAACTGGATTATTGAGCATCAAAAGTCAAAGTCACTTTATTGTCAAAAACTGCAATATGGACAGGACATACACAGGATTGGAATTACATTACTCTCAGACCCCGGTGCAACAATAACCATTTAACATTAAAACATTTAATAAACATAAGCATAAAATGAAATAATAAAAGTATGATACTGTCTTAAATTGTACTATAGCGGTATAAATAAAAAAAAAAAGTATATCTATACAATAAAATGAAATGAAGTGAAGGTCCTGACACTGACATTTGTAGTAAGTGGCAAAGCAGCATATAAAGTGAATGTACACAGTGTATGTATGAAGTCCTTGATAATGGTGTAGATAAAGTGACATATGCAATAAGGCTAGTAAAAAATATATATATATATATCAACGGTAGTGTAATATAAGCAGCAGTATGAATATAAACAGTAGTGTGAATGTAAACAGTAGTGCAAATGTAAACAGTAGTGTGAATGTAAACAATAGTGTGAATGTAAACAGTAGTATGAATATAAACAGTAGTGCAAATGTAAACAGTAGTGTGAATGTAAACATTAGTGCAAATGTAAACAGTAGTGTGAATTTAAACAATAGTGTGAATGTAAACAGTAGTACAAA